AACGTAGGTGTAATTCACTTCACAGGGAGGTAACAAGTTTTGTCCTTCGTTATTCCCCAGCCACACACGCCGATTACAGGTCGAGTTTCTTTTTACCGTTGAAGTTATATAATATCTTCGTAAAGATACAAATATCCGAAATGAATCCACTGAAGTTAAATGATTTGTAATGTTCGAACTTTGTAAATGCTCCTGGTCAAATATCTGAAGTTTCCCGATTGACAAGCGTTATAACAATCACAGTTATAGGTTCCGAAGTTTATAACACACTGACCATAGCAAACTAATAATAGATACTACTTTTTGGCGCGTCGTGTTGGTTATATTTATATGCGTGTGAAGGCTTTCTAGAATTTTCAGTTTTATGTAACAATACAGACGCTACATTTAAGCATTTACGTACACATATTGTTGATTCTTGTTCTCGAGAATCTTCTACAACTTTGGAGAATAGGCGGAAGTTTCGCAATACATATTTAACAGTATAAGCTATGTACGTTTCTAAATATAAATTTAATCTAAACAAACGTTGATATTAAAATAAATATATAATAATAAATCCGTCACAACTATATTGTTTGGAACTATTAAAAAGATAATATTATGATAGAAATTGAGTACATTATGCTAAAACGCTTCTGGATCCTCACCACGTTACAGTCCATGTTGCCACACCAGTCACGCTTTATCTGACGACTGTGCATTTTTAACAATAGCCCTGCAGCATAGATTCCTTTGCAAAAGGCTCCATCCCAAGACTGACATTTCTAAGGCATACTTCTCCTCCCTGGCTATTTTTCATAAACCACCTAGCGTACATGGACGACGGTTTGCCAGCACCCGTTTCAACAGTCCGATCATATAGAAGTTCATAGGCATTATATCGGCGTTCTAAATTGTATGTCTTTACATAAGAAATAGCATGAATACCCATTTCATTTTCCAGCTGCTTGAGGTATGCAATGGTTTCAATAATATGTGTGAAAGCAACTCGTGTACACTTGAGTGGGATCGCTTTTCAAGACCGAAATATCTCTTGATTATTATTCTTTTGTAAGTTAAAATTTTTACAGTAAGGAAGAATATATTTAAAACAGGTACGATGTTTCGATCACTTGTGTGATCATTCTCAAGTACACAAGTTTTAGTCGCACCAGTGATCAAAACGTCGTACCATTTTTCAAAATATTCTTCTTTACTGTAAAAGCTGTAATTTATAATAAAATAATACTTATAATCAGTAAGTAAACTCTAAATGAAACGTTTTGATTATGTTACACGTGGAACACGTGGAATGCTTTCCCACTGATTTTTGTGTTCATGGATTTTCACCCATTAGGAGACGTCACACTTTGCTTTCCATGGCGAGGGTACGCCATGTTGCAGGTCTTTTTTATGGAGGGTTCTGGTACACCAAGTCAATCCATATTCATTTGTTTTCCAATGACGTCATTAAACGCAAGGAATACACGTACCTTGGAAATTTTAAATCCCTAGTCTGAACACATCGTTATACTCTGAGTGTATGAATATTTTGTATTGGAAAGAGCTGTGACATACCATTCACAACAGCGATCAAATTTAGGTGTCATCGCATGTCTGCGAAACACGAAGCAACATCAAAGTGTAGTTGTGATATAAACTGTCTCACCACGATATTATATAGGCTGTGTCTGTCACGTGACGTGCTAATTTGCATATTCAACATCGTTTCAATGTAACGTAGTGAAGGTGAGGTAAGATAGTCGTCTACAATATTAGATACAATAGGTCTAAAATTGTTCCCAATCTTATGAACTTTAGGTAAGGCATATAGTCGAGGTAAATAAAAGTTACTTGGAATTAAACTTTACTTTACAGTTCTTAATTTTTTATTTAACCATTGTATGAAGTTTATTTATAAGATTAACTTTTATGTTCTCATACGACCTTCTTTCAACACTTATTCAACTTTAGAATCGTAATCTTTTTTATTAATAATTACAGTTTGTTCCTCTTTATCAGTTTTGCAAAAAAACACATCTTGGTCCTTAAAACTGTTATATATTTGAAATTCCTTTTTGTTATTATTTACAGGTTTAAAATTATTTAATAAAGTACAACACTCATTTCTAACAATATGCTTTTTCAATATCAACTTTTTTAAAGTTAATTTCAATTTCAGGTATCATATTTTTATAACATTTTTTGGACTACACCTAGCTATTTATCATTTAGTATTAAATCCGATTTATGTATGACTTTAGGGTTATTTATAAATATATTATACTTCTCTGGTATTGGATCTAGTTTATGATGCTCTCCATTCACTTCTTTTTTTCTGAGCTAATAAAGTTTTTAGTTTTTGTCCAACGTAATTTTACATCTAGCAATATTTTCCTGTGTAGTTATCCATGACTTCCTTTCCCCCTCCGTCCAGTCTTCCTTCGTTCCTTTAGATAGAGAAAAATGCAACAAATATGCTGTTTTTTTCCTTCTCGGCTATGAAACTTCTGTTTTGTTGAATCATAATATTCAATATTTTCCTTAAGTTGATATTCCACTTTCTTGTTTCTGATGTTATCTTATTTCTATTATGCCTCATTAAAAATGCTAGTTGTTGGGGGCATTTTTTAAACTCTAGTCTTTTTTTTTAAATATTAAATTAAAATCACTTGCTTAAAAAATAATGTTTGGTACCGTCATTTATACCTGGCTTATCTTGTCAAATAATAAAACAATTTAGACAATATATAAATATTTTTCTGATATATAAACCGATAGACATAGGTAGCCAAATTCTTAATATAACTAAAGTAAAAAAAATTAATGGAAAAACTTGATATATTATATGATATCACATGAATTTGAAAAAAAGTTGACATTGGAGAAACTCTAAGAAATTGAAAATTCAAAACACAAAAGAAATTTTAAAAACAATAATGTTACTATTTCACTTTTAGCAGAACATATTATTGAAACTAAATACATAATTCAATGAGAAAAAAAACTGTTATTTTAGCACAACCTGAATATTTTATTAGTATGAATATACGTGAATCTGTTGATATAGTTAAATATCAAAAAAGTAAATTTAAAATATTGAATAAGGATGATGAACCTGATGGAAATATTGTCAGCAGATGGCGTGAAATATTTTAATATGTAAATTGGTGATTTTATAATGATATGAATGAGTGTTATTCCTGCAAAACATTGCACTCTTGAGGATGGCGTAGTAAGATACGCCGAAACATGTTGGGTGTATGTGATTGTTTCCAATCTCATCAGGTTTTTTACCCTGTACAGTATGTTATTTGTATTTTATGGTAATTTTGAGACTTTGAACAGTCTTTTTTTTAGAATTTTAATGTATTATTATTATCTTTTGTTTGAGTAAAATAAGGTTGTAAACAAACAAGTATAACACTCTTTTTTTAAAGGTTAGCCTTTAAATATGCAAAATAGATTTATTTTTTAACTTCTTTTCATTTATTAAAAAACACTTCTGGATTACAATTATTAAAATTATTCTTCACTGGATATTTTTTTTCAAATTTCTATTTATAGTCCACAATGAATTTAGATTCGGTTATGTGAATAGGTAACGTTACAAATATATATTTTTGTCTTCAATAAATAACTGTTCGGTAGGCCTTTTGCTCAATACCAGAATTCGTCAACTGAGCTGGACTTTAGGTAGTCAACAGAACATCTGAAATGTTGTTTGGATGCAGTAAAAGAATCTAATATAATGTAGAGCAATGGGTTTTTTTTGGGAGTAACAAAAACGATTAAAATAACATTTCACTATGTTTCTTTATACCACTGTGCTAATTCTCGTACTGCATACAAATACCACTTCTGATGCACTTATGGGTGCGTTAAGTCCAGTTCAGCTGATGAGTTCTGTTATTGATTTAAAGGCCTTTGGGCAATGACTTTTGTAACAAAATATATCTGAAATATATATTTACATACTTTTAATCTGAAACTGATAAAGGACTAATGAAGAGAAATGTAAAAGAATGTGTTGTTAAGCGTGACTTGATTCACTTTTGAGAGACATGACTTTGTTTTTCGCTGTTAAGTGCGAAGTTGCACAATGGGCTATCTTTACTGTGCCCACCACGGCTATTGAAACCCGTTTTTAGCATTATAAGCCTTCAAACTTATTGCTGAGCCACTGGGGGAGGGGGGGGGGGGTGAGAAGCTTGAGAAGCCTTATTGCTTCGTAAGCTATGACGTTTAAAACTAATTTCTTAAAATCTGTTTAACTTTCTGTATATATCGTGGTTATTTCAAATACAAATCTATGTAACGGTAATCGTAAAAAAAAAACTATCTCGGGGCTATTTCATTACTTCCAAGATCGGGTTTATACATCCGCTGTGAGCAGAGTATAGGTAGCCCATTGTGTAGCTTTGTGCGCAAACAATAAATTAAACAATAACATTATGTTTTTCAGAAGTAAATTTAATTCATCACGTAACCAGAGTTTATTTGCATTTTCTCATGATTATACATTAACGTATTTAACTTTCAACTGTCCCTAATCTGTTGTCATTTTATTCATTTATTTGATTATCCTTGTATCTGTAGAAACCGTAGGCTTATGTGAGATATATCCTGTTGAGATGTTACAAGATCAAGCACAATGCCTTCTGGGAGATTACGTCAGACACAAATATCCTCGACAGCCGACTAGGTTTGGACGTCTTCTTCTTTTGGTACCTTGTCTTAGGGCCGTTAAGGGAGGGATGGTGGAGAAGATGTTTTTCAGAGACACTGTCGGAGACACTCCCATTGAAAGACTTCTGGAAGACATCTATCATATGGAAAAGACAGAGTGACTTGAAGATCACTGTTTAAGAGCAGGGAGGGATGGTGGAGAGGCTGTTTTTCAGAGACACTGTCGGAGACACTCCCATTGAAAGACTTCTGGAAGACATCTACCATATGGAAAAGACAGAGTGACTTGAAGATCACTGTTTAAGAGATTTTAATTATATTCTTATTCAAAGAATTTAAGATTCAATTATCAAAAGAATATTGAAAAGTAGCTTTGAAGCTAAAATGGAAAGAAAAAAGTATTAGTCAGTGGTATAAGGTAAGCATTTTCATACAAAGACCTGAATAATTAATTTAATGTTTTTTTGTTGTTGTTTTTTAGATAAGAGTCTCAATTACATGTAAATTGAACTACCTGCTAATATTTCAGATGTATTGTCGAACATAAAATAGTAAAAGAAGCATGAATAAAGCCAAGAATTTATTTTCATTCTACTGAAAGTAACACAAAACATTCTATTAAGGGTTAAAATCTGAAATTTCCTCATGAATGAGAGAGTACTCATTGAACTGGAAATGTATTCTTGGTGTTTGATCAACAAAGAATATGCAGAGGTTTGCCATAAAGCATTGTTTATGTTTTAAAAGCAGTAAACAAATTACAAAGCTTCATTAGAAACAATCTATGTTCTCATCAGAGACTAATATGGGTAGGTTTATTATTAACCAATACGTATCTTTTTGTCAAGAAAAAATACCTATGTTTCTGTTAAGAAACGATGTCTGTGTTCTTTCAAGAAACAATATATATGGGCTCATCATGAAACAGTGTCTGTGTTTGCTTGTTTTTTTTTCATAAAACAATGTCTATGGGTTCATCAGGAAATAGTGCCCGTGTTGTTTGTTTTTTCCACAAAACAATGTCTATGGCTTCATCAGGAAACAGTGTATGTGTTGTTGTTTTTTTCATGAAACAATGTCTATGGGTTCATCAGGAAATAGTGTCCGTGTTTGTTTATTTTTTCCACAAACAATTCTATGGCTTCATCAGGAAACAGTGTCTGTGTTGTTGTTTTTTTCATGAAACAATGTCTATGGGTTCATCAGGAAATAGTGTCCGTGTTTGTTTTGTTTTTTTCACAAAACAATGTCTATGGCTTCATCAGGAAACAGTGTCTGTGTTGTTGTTTTTTTCATGAAACAAAGTCTATGGCTTCATCAGGAAACAGTGTCTGTGTTGTTGTTTTTTCATGAAACAATGTCTATGGGTTCATCAGGAAACAGTGTCTGTGTTTGTTTATTTTTTTTTGCCATGAAACAATGTCTATGGGTTCATCTGCAAATAAGGTTTATTTATTTATTTATCGGTGAAGAAGTTTATTTCTTCATCAGAAAACACGATCTACGTCTTCATCATAAAACAATGTCTATAAGTTTGCATCAGAAAACAAGGTTTATGTCTTCATGGAAATATGCTTAAATAGCCTCATCAGAAATCATTGGTTATATCTTCAGTAGATGTGATTCTTCTTAGCGTTAATTTCGTTAAGACTTCAACAAACATCGGAGAGACCGTTTTCAATAGTGCCAATTAGCAGTTCCATAAGAAACTTAAGCAAATACAAAGATGCATGTAGAGAACTAAAAGTGGGTGTCATAATAGCTATTTTTATGTTATGGGCGTAGTAGCTGCTGGAATTATCATCCATAAGCTTAGATAGTAAAATAACATATACTAACTTGTCATTTACTCATAATCATACCAAAATACCTGGTTAATGACTAACGTAAATTAACTGCAGTGAAAAGTTATTTTCTTTAACCCGAACAGGGCTTGATCCAATGGTTACCGTGTCGAAAAGCGAATCGAAGGATTCAAGATTTAATCCGCGATGTTGCTAAAACTTCAGTTGTGGGTTTACTATAAAAGTAATTGTTAAGCCAGTTTATTAGTATTAAAGAAAAACGGACAAAAGCCTCTGTGGCAGCTGGTGTTACTGACTGGCTGCTCACCCACTGATTAGCCATTCAAAATTAGCGAAGAACATACTTGAACACTAGGGGTCTCAGATTTAGCCATTTTGTTGCATAAAGTGTCGTTCAGGTTGAAAATCCTAATTCCAAATATTTTCATCTTCCAATATGAACACAATTATATTTCCTGTAAAATTTTATTTTGAAATTTCTTTTTTAGCGCAAAGCTACAAAATGGACTATTTGCGCTCTTTCCACATCCGAGAATAGATCCATGGATTTTAGCGTTGTAATTCAGTAAACTTACCGCTAATCCACTGATGGGACAGATTTGCGCCTTTGTATATGCAGTTACTAAAAAAGTTACGTAATATAACCTAATTTATATCTACATCTATTAAGTCGTCAAGAAATTAATGTCGCGTTTTGGAATACTTTCATTAACTACCCACAAAAATTTACATCACGTATAATGGTTAAACGAACC